TGGGCTTTGATAAGAAATTTACTCAAACTATATATCACAAACAGCAAAGATGATCAGAAATGGAAAACTGACAGATTCTATTGAAATGAAGAAAGGGATGAGACAAGGCTGCCCATTAGCCCCTCTACTTTTTGTTTTAACATTAGAAGTTTTAAATTGAAACATCAGAGAAGACAAAGAAATAAAAGGAATGAAAAGCATTTGCAGATGATCTGGTTTTCATTTTAGAGTATCCATTAGAAACTGCATCTAAATTGATAGAAAAAATAGAGAAATATGGAAAAGTAGCAGGTTTGAGAATAAATAAAGATAAAATGAAGATTTTGACAAAGAATATATCAAGACAAAGGGAAGAATTGGCAGAAGCCTTGGAGATTCAAGTCACGAATAAGGTTAAATATTTGGGGATATATTTAATCGCAAAATGCAGTGCACTCAAAAGAGACCAACTGCCATAAACTTAAACAGCAGATTGCGATGGATCTGACGAAATGGGAAAATCTACAAATATCAAAGATAGGGAGAATATGTCAGCCTCTGCTTTGCTGCTGCTTCGGCTGCCATTGTAAGGGGGGGGGGGGCTGTTTTCACCCTCCCCAGGCTCCTGTAAAGCCTCTGGAGCCTTGGGAGGGTGCAAAATGGCTTTAAAAAAGGCTGAATTCAGCTCTGGCCAGCTGACAGGGCAGTGTCTCGCGTGCCCTGACAGATGGCTCCACGTGCTCCCTGTGAGAAGTGTGAGAAGCGGTCGTAAGTCCCTTTTTTTTCAGTGCCGCCGTAACTTTGGTCACTAAACAAACTGTTGTTAAATCGAGGGCCACCTGTACCCATCTCTGAGCCCTCCTAATCGCGAAGGGCTGAGAAGGAGAGGGAGAGAACGTTTTCGCTTCGCCACGCAGGCTGAGAATTCTCCAGGCAACATAACCGAAGACTTCAAGCAACCGGATCTGTCTTCTTCCGACAAGGACACCCCGCAGGAGCTGGAGAGCAGCGGGACCAACCTCTACGTCTCCCAAGCAGACAGTAGCTCTTCCTTCGGAGAGAGGTTGGTTTTCTGCAGACTCTTAGGTTGTCCAAGGCGGCCCACTTGACTCAAGCGACGAGGCTTGGTCCTTCGGCTCAACGGTCTCCCACCTTGGCAACTTTAAGCCTGGAGGACTTCAACCCCCAGAATTCCCCAGCCAGCTTTCCTTCGAAGTTGCCAAGGTGGGAGGCCGCTGCTGTTGTGTCCTGGAGCCTGGGAAGAGCACAGACCCTGGGGCCTGTTGTCTCCCCTCTCAGGTTTTTCAGGACACCTGGATGGGTGGACAGATGGTGGGTGGACAGTGGACAGATCCACTGTTAAGAAAGATCTGGCCATTATTTCTCTCTCTCTTAGAAGGTCAGTCCATCAGCCTCTGTTCGAGGAGGAAGCCTCAAGCCCCAGAGACAAGGCTCCTGAGATCACCCTCTCTGGGGCTCCTTTGGATGCTGAGCTACCTGTCTCCGGGCACCAGCACAAAGGTAAGATCCCTGGAAAGGGACTTCACGGATTCCTCCCCAGCCTGGTATTGCACCAAGCGGGCTCCTTTCGTGGCACGGCTGGCCGCTGGTCCGAGAACCCCTGTAATGTTCAACCCAGCTCCAAAGAGCAGCCCGATGCCTCCCAGGTGTGAACCTCAGCTCCCACAATCCCCTTAGCCATTGCTAAGGACTCTGGGAGCTGGCCCACCTTTCTGGAGGACGCCAGGTTGGGGAAGGCGACGTGAAGGGCAGCCGTGGAAGTGGAAACCGTGTTTCCTGTGCCAGTGATGGATTTACGCCAAGCCTCTCTCGGTCGTGTCCGCTCAGAAAAAATTGGGAGGAAGAGGAGGGGAGCTTGTGGGGCTCAGTTGCCATCCGTCCCCAAAAGGGTGAGGGAAAAGGAAAGGAAGAGAAAAGGGCCAGCACACAGTCCACCTTGATTCAGGGATACAGGTGGTCCTTGATTTACGAGATTTCATTTAGTGACGGTTCAAAATCACAACAACATTGAAAAAAAGGGGGCTTACGGCCGTTTTTCACACTTGCCACTGTTGCAGCCTCCCTGGGGTCACGCGATCAAAATTCAACCGACCCCTATTTATGACGGCTGCAGTGTCCTGGGTGAGGCGACCCCCTTCCGCGGCGTTCTTACAAGCCAAGGCATTGGGGGAGCCAGATTCACTGAACAGCCGTGCGTCTAACTTAACAACTGCAGCGATTCCCTTGAGAACCGTGGCAAAGAACAGTTGTACAATGGGACAAAACTCACTTAAGCCGAGGTGGCGCAGTGGTTAGGGTGCAGTACTGCAGGCCACTTCAGCTGACTGCTATCTGCAGTTCGGCGGTTCAAATCTCACCGGCTCAAGGTTGACTCAGCCTTCCATCCTTCCGAGGTGGGTGAGGACCTGCATTGTTGGGGGCGATATGCTGACTCTGTAAACCACTTAGAGAGGGCTGAAAGCCCTATGAAGCGGTATATAAGTCTAACTGCTATTGCTACTATTGCTATTAAGACAGGCTTTGCTGGCTAGGGAATTCTGGGAGTTGAAGTCCGGACATCTTCAAGTGGCCAAGGTTGAGAAACACTGATCTAACCTCTGTGGAATACGTGATTTTTTAGAAACCTCCC